ACTATCATCCTGGCCAAGTCTAATGACAATTGAGTAAAAAATGTGACCACTAGAGTGTTAACAAGGTGTTACCATATTTGGACGGTGTGACCTAGTTTTTAATCCAAGGTATTCCATATTATAACTTGACTTAGATATTATCAAAACAAATTTCCAGACCAATTTCCAGGATATTCGGATCAAAACATAGGCCACTAGAGTCTTAACAAGATTTTTCTATTTTTAGCTCATGTGACCTAGTTATTAATTTGAAATGACCAATGTTTGAACTAATCCGGCCTAGACAACCTAGACAAGCATCCTAACAAGTGAGTCAAAAATGTGACCACCAGAGTGTTCACAAGTTTTTTTTCCATATTTAGGCGGTGTGACCTAGTTTTCGACCCCAGGTCACTCATATTTGTACTTGACCTAGAAATCATCAAAGCAAACTTTCAGACCAATTTCAAGGATATTTTGATCAGAACAGTAGCCACTAGAGTGTTAACAAGATTTTTATATTTTAGCTCCTGTGATCTAGCTTTCATCCGAAAGGTCCAATGTTCGAACTCATCAGAGCAATTACCCAGAAAAGCATTCTGACCAAGTTTGATTATGATTAAGGCAACAATTTGACCACTAGAGTGTTATGTTTGTAACAAGGTTTTTCCATATTTAGGTGGTGTGACCTAGTTTTTGACACCATATGACTAACATTCGAACTTGACCTACAAATCATCAAAACAACTTTTCAGACTAGTTTCCAGGATATTTGGATCAAAACAGTAGCCACTAGAGTGTGAACAAGATGCTTCTATTTTTAGCTCCTGTGACCTAGGTTTTCATCTGAGATGACCTATGTTCAAACTCATCCGAGCAATTACCCGGACAATTATCCTGACCAAGTTTCATGATGAATGAGTAAAAAGTGTGACCGGTAGAGTGTTAACAAGGTGTTTACATATTTAGGCGGCGTGACCTAGTTTTTGACCCTAGGTGACCCATATTTGAACTTGACCTAGAAATCATTAAAACAAACCTTCAGACTTATTTCAATGATATTTTGATCAAAACAGTAGCCATTAGAGTGTTAACAAGATTTTTTTATTTTGAGCTCCTATGACCTAGTTTTTCAGCCGAGATGACCCATGTTCGAACTCTTCCAAGCAATTACCTACAAAACATCCTGACAAAGTTTGATGAAGATTCAGGTAAAAATGTGACCGCTAGAATGTTAACGAACAAATGTGGACGGACGAAAGACGGACTTTCAACGATCCTCAGGTGAGCTTAAAAGCTTCATTAGGACAATCGATAGTACAGACAGCAACACCAAGAACTTAAGTATGCCAATTACACTTAGGTTTAGGAGTGACAATTCATCCCATGTCCGGATCAAGGATGATTGTTGATTGCTTAAGTAACTTAGGTAGCTATAAAAAAGTCAAAATTCTACATATATGATATATGAGTCAATTTGTACATGTAATCTGTAAATTTTAAACAAGTACTTGAGTAAAAAATTATTTTCAACATAAGGTGTTTTCGTTAGCAGATATCTTTTTTGAAGCATGTCTAATTTCCATTACACAAGTAACCGGTATTCTTTTTCATTGGTTCTTTAACGTAACACTCATATCTTTATCAACTCTAAGATTTCAGTGCGTCGTATCAGGACGTATGGCGGATAACGTGGATCGCAACATTGAACTATAGATGGATTGCATACATTTCAAAGAATGGTGAATAATAGCTTCACTAACATTCAAATGATACCACGTTTTAATGTCTCACGTAATTACGTTATACCAACAGCGAAACTTGATAAACAATTTTATGCAACCAAACTGCTTTACAGAAGAAATCAATGGAGTTTCGGATCACACAGAAGTAGACGAGCTTGAATTAATCCTGAAAGTAGTACAATCATTGAGAGTGGAGTTACCAGGCTGTTCTGGAACAATGTAGATCATACAAGGAAGTCATTTGGGAGAATCAACACTATCATTTATGCCCATGATTAATATGAACTCAGCGACCCATTCAACTTTATATTTTGTGGCGAAGCAGTCACGAAATCAGGGCACTTTAGCAGTGCTTACATTCGACCAAAGCCTCTCTTGGACTGGAATGTACTTTAAATCTAGAAAAAGGCTAATCTTTTGGAAGCAAAATGTATCACAAATTTATATGACCAGTGCGGACTCGGTTTAAGAGATGACTTTGACTTTTGTATAGTTAATTATCCACATTTAGATGGAGACGTACCCCATGCAACATCTTACGGGGTTTATGTTTCTCAGTTAATTAGATTCGCTAGAGCTTGTAGCAACGTAAAAGATTTCAACGAGCGGACTATTTTTATTACCAGCAAGCTTCTAAAACAGGGCTACCGCTATCATAAATTACGGAAATATTTTACTAAATTTACCATCGTAACTTTGATTTAATTTCTAAATTCAATAGTGATTTAAAAACTCTTCTGCGACAAGGGATTAGCCAGCCTGGTTTTTATGGCGATGTGATTCACAAACTTCGTAAGATTTTGGGTCATGGTAATTTTTCTGCTGTTTTTACTAAAATCATTAAACGTTTTATTAAAAGAGGTTATGACCCTACTATTTTAAGACATACTGCATGTTTAGTGTTCAACCCTTTTACAGTTGGACACTACGCTTTCCTCTTTTGATTGCATCTGACGGACCAAGTGGGAGACTCTATGATGGATAGTTCGTAAAGCCCTCTGGGACTGAATTGTCTTAATGTTCGTCTTCTGCCTTGCTTCGTCGGGCCCTTGTAGGTGATTTTCTTGTTGCTCTGTCTTCCTTTAGGACATTGAGTACTTTTGTTATGGTCATTGGGTTTACTTTTAAATGTCTCTACATGATCATTTTAGTGTTTTACTTATTTAACCTTTTGTAACCATGACAACTGTTAGGATTTTACTTGGCGGGGATTCATTTTATTTACACTGTCTCGTTTATAGGAACATGGTGGGGCTAAGAGCGAGGTTTGGTGCACCATTAACCGGTTTAAATTCCCCAGCAATCATTATTATGCTGCTGACCGTTCCAAGGCGGCGCCCCACTATGTTCCTCAGATGTATGTCTATGTTGTTTCATACTGTTTTGGTGACACTTTTGCTTGTGTCCCTTGTTGTTTTCTCGTCTACGGTAAGTATCTTCCCCATTACCTCTAGTTTTTATTTCTTTGATTAACCCCCCCCTTCCCCCGGTCTCCTGTCCCCTTCCCCTTTTGTGGGCCTATCATTCTTTTCTTTGAATTCCTAATCAATTACAAATTATTTATCATTTAATGATTAACCTGTCCGTGCTCTGTCTTTGCCCTGTCCTGTTTTTCTTTGGGGTCCGCCTGGGCTCCTTGCCATTGGTTCTTGTTGCTGGGTCATATGGGGGTTGCGTTCATTGAACGCCGCCTTTCCTTGTTGATCTTGTTTATCATATTTTTGATTGAGTCTGTACATCAAGAGGTATGAAAAAGTGCAACAGCTTTTGATGATTAGACTTATGAAATAATAAGTGAAATAAAAAATGAAAATTGTGTACAAAGCTAATGCTAGACCTAACGACTTGTACACAAGATGTATATCAATTATTTTGCTCAGGTTTTCATGTTGAACTCAGAGCTGATATATATTGGGGAGGCCTTTTCACTGATTATGTCATTGAGCAAGTCTTAATGAGGAGTTAGTTTTAAATCAGCAAGTGGTTTGAAAAGGGGAAGAGGTATGACAGAGTCACAAGGAACGCAGTGGTTATTATCTGATCCTGCAATGGCCGAAATAAACACAACAATGCAGGTATTGTCGGGTTTATCTACGGAATCTGAATTGAATTTTTAACCGTGCTTGTTTCCTTGATTTTGTAAGGCAACAAAAGCCATTTACAGTTGATAGAAAAGATCCTTAAAATTTAAAACAAGCGTGACTGGAAATGATTCAGTAATCGTCGACACAGCCGAACAGATTGGTGAAAAAATCAAAAGAAAATAGGAATATGAAAAACAAGATCAACAAGGAAAGGCGGCGTTCAATGAAGGCACAAAGTTACCAGTTTTAAGTTTAAACTTAAAGATGAGTTTATAACTGGCTACTCAGAACTTAATTTGAGTTTATTCACTCAACTTTACGTCCTTCGGGATCATTGATGCCAGCACTATTAAGTGTTGAGAATTGAGTACCGCTCAAGCCGGTGCTAGGGGGCGTCAGGGATGTTGCACTTAATTCATTATCCCTCATGTACAGACTCAATCAAACCGAGTCTGCAATTCTTATGTAATTTTGTTGTGATTATTGCTTCCGATGGATCACTTTGTTTCCAGATTTTTAAACTTCATAACAGCAGGTGTCAAGTGACGTGTGGCAGCTGTAAAAATTACCCCGTACTTCACTTCAGTGTTGTTATATTTTTCTGGTCCTTCGGGCTCATTGATGCCAGCACTATTGAGTGTTGAGAATTGAGTACCGCTCAAGCCGGTGCAAGGGGGCGTGAGGGATGTTGCACTTATTCATTATCCCTCATGTACAGACTCAATCAAACCGAGTCTGCAATTCTTATGTAAATTTGTTGTGATTATTGCTTCCGAGGGATCGCTTTGTTTCCAGATTTTTATACTTCACAACAGCAGGTGTCAAGTACCGTGTGGCAGCTGTAAAAAGTTGCCCCGTACTTCACTTGAGTGTTGTTATATTTTTCTGGTCCTTCGGGATCATTGATGCCAGCACTATTGAATGTTGAGAATTGAGTACCGCTCAAGCCGGTGCTAGGGGGCGTGAGGGATGTTGCACCAATTCATTACCCTAATGTACAGACTCAATCAAACCGAGTCTGTCTGCAATTCTTATGTAATTTTGTTGTCATTAATGCTTTCGAGGGATCACTTTGTTTCTGGATTTTTAGACAACCCCGGAGAAATGTTTCAAAATGATCTCAATGATTACCGTAGACCTTCAAAAAATTTTGACAGTGGAGGTTTTCTAATGGAGGCGGAAAAGCCAAATCTTATTAATTCAATATGGGGATTTGAGTCTGGTAACATTTTTATTGTTTAACATGAGTATGTGTACAGTAGTTAAACAAAATTATACTATTGTTATTCATTACACAATTTCCACAAGTAACATGCATTAGGTTGTCATTTACAACAAATAGAGGCAGGATATTCGCCATATTTTAACATATTGTATCACGAACTTTAACTCTTTCCATAAATTAAGTTTCTGATTGAATATTTTGTCCGGTTTTAATGTAAGGCACATTCATACATGTTGATAAAATAAAAATAAAGAAAAATCTTGTGTTGCAATTCGTTTGACGTCAGGCTACGAATACATGTAACTGAAGTTGCCTAGTACATCAACGTATGAAACATATGTTTCTAACTATTTTAAATTCTAGATTACGAGTATTTTGTTCTTACTTTCTTCACTACGCATGCACAAATTGTAATGAAACTTTGTTAAAACATTCCTTATGTAGAAACAGATATTATTATAAAAGGATCGGTGAAGAATAGCTTCTTTCTGTATTTTAACATCTAAAATTTATCGTTAAGGTTCGAATCTTTGGTTTCCGGTAACCATAACTGGGATAGAATGCACAGAACGCCTATAGCTCCGCAAACATAGTACATCAATCCAGGCACGTGATAGTTCTGAAAATGTTAAAATTTTGTTTATAAAACTGAAAATTATATTTAAAAGAATATTAACGGTAAGAACAAAGTAGAAGAGAGTAAAGGTGATATAAAGTATGATCATTCTCAATGCTTTATCTTACACAGTTGTAAATCATTTGTGTAATACAAAGAATGCGAAGAAAGAGTTAACCAAAAATATACACTGTTACGAGGGGTGTTCAAATATGAATGCAATTATGCCAATATCTCGCTTTTAACCATGTTGTGCACGAACTATGTACATGTATCGAATAGATGGTTGTGTAAGCTCTCAATTGATAAAATACATGTGTAAATCAGTTTTATTTGACAATAGCTCAATTAACGCTATCTACTCGTGTATATGTGTAAACTAAAGCTAAAATGGTTGGGAAAAGGCCTCCTGTCACTGACCAAATACGGTCCTGTATCAAGGACCGCTGTATATTTGGTATACAGGCGAATAACATATTAAATGAAATATGTTGTGATTATGGGAACAATGAACTGTCTTTTTCATCTGTCACACGCTGGTGTAAGAAATTTAAAAGTGGTGTGGATTCACCTCATACACGCCGTCCGAAAACTGTACCTGTGCCAAAATTGGTTGAAGAAATTAAGGATTTGATTGCTACTGATGCAAGATTTACAACTAGGTATATAGCTAAATGCGTTGGTATCTCTGTAGGTGCCGCGCTAATACAATTCTCAGACATGATTTAAAATGAGAAGGCTAAGTGCCAGATGGATACCCTATTTCCTTACAAAAGAGCAAAAACTTGCTAGGGTAAGAATCTCCAAACAATTGTTGAAACAGTTCCCTAAATACAACAATCGACCTTTCGCAATGAGACGTGGGCTCCCTTTAAAGAGCCCAAGCGAAAGAAAAAACAAAACAAAATGGGTCAACCAAACAAAGTCAAAAGCCTTGCATTAAAAAACACACATTGAGCATCAAAAACATCGTGTTTGTAATTTTCTTTAGCAATAAATGTCCTGCTATTCAAATTGCCGTACCAAAGGGTAAATCTGTAAATGCCAAGTTTAACAAAGGGAGGTCCTTCATAAATTAAAGAAATATTTCAAAAACCATCGACCAGCAACTAGTCTCCGTGATCACCATACAAAGCCGCAATTGTACGAGAATACCTGTAACAGAAAAAGTTAGTAGAGCTTCCTCACCCTCCTTATTTGCCAGATCTTGCACCTTGTGACTTTTTCCCATTTCAGAGGCTAAAAAACACCTTGCTTGAAGAAAATATCGGTTTGGCCATTTTCCAGTGTCTGAACAGTATATCTCGAACAGATTATGAAAACGCATTTAAAAATTGGATTAAAAGTCTAAAACCTTGTATATCACATGGTGATGAGTATTTTGAAGGATTGAGATAATTATTTTGGCACTGTTTGTTAAAGCACCATTGAAAATTGACCCAGTTGCATTCATATAAACACCCTTCGTAAAAAGATGTATGCAATTTTTTCACATGTTTTAGGTTATTTCTCTCGATCTTGCAGGGCCTAAGTAAAATCACTTACATTGTGCACTTGACAAATTGTTTACTTATCAAAACAGTTTATAAGTTTAAATAAAAAATAATACAAATATTCAAGCATGCTGCTTTATATTAAAAGCAGGATAATAAAACGACCAAAGAGAAAATAAGAAAATATATACCAAATAAACAAGCTGTGGTCCTATTATAGCACCAATCCTAGCCATGGTATTCATTGATCCCATTCCTATGTTTCTATTCAATGTCATTACAAAAGAAGAGATCATAATTAATCATTTTGATACTATTTACTGTAAAAGTTTAATTTTTAACTGTCATTTATTTCGTACTTTCCGAAGATGGCCGCTTGCACATAAAAGATAGTCAAAACGAGATAAAGGATATAGAAACAAATGCAGTAATAACTTTTACAAGTAATTGTCAGTATAATATTGTAACTGTTACCGGAAATAAAACCAGATTCTTATAACCTTTCTTTTTTTCTTGGCCACATTATACGTGTTTATTCAATCGCCAGGATTTAATGAAAGAAACCTTAAAGCGTACATAATTTGCAGCCATCTCATATCAAATAACAGAATCATACCTAACGACTGTTGGATACACCTCAATTGTCATGGTTTGGACCGGTCCCCATGCTGTGTTTATTCCCACACTTGCAATAATTGAAAATACATTTGTGAGAATGTCTTTATTGCTAGCATCTAAAATAAAAACATGATTTTATTAGAGCTTTTATAGGTACAAACTATAACGTTATAATATTCCTGTATATGTTTTTCTATATTTCATCAAAGTAAAAGCTTCTATTTCCACTTTAATTTCATTGTACAAATCACGCCAAAATGCATGGGTTTAAAGGTTTGTTTGAAAACACCATCTTTTAGTTGCAAACTTTAACATTATAACAATTTGTCATTTTAGTAATCCGTTAAAATATTAAATGATTGCCATATAAAGAATTATATTGAAACAAGCCCCAGTGATTTAAGGATCGGCGCGAAATTTTTGTTTGAAAAGAATTCAAATAACTTAGCAAGATATGCATATTTTGAAATTGATCCATACAGTGATCTTGATCCTAAATTTGATCCCTATTTTGATCCGGTCATAAAATTGAAATTTGTATTGTAATTCATAGACTTTATCCTTATAAGAATTATATATATTTGTTCATTGAAAATCTGCAATTTTTGAACAATGTACCATACTATTGAAGTCGAATAAAATTAAATAAGATCAACGTCAGTTGTCAACAATAAAACAAAATCAGAATAAATTGATCCTGATCCTGATAAGGCTTGAAAATACGCGTTCAGGAGCTACCTACCAATACTTTGTACAACACCAACAACAAATCCACTTGCAGCCACAGCAATAAAACAAAGAACGCTAGAAATCCGCCTTCCAAACCTAACATTTGAACAATTAAATATTATATTTTCCGCATAGAATTTTTTAACGTTCTACTTACACGGATTCTTAAGATTCAGCTGTCAATGGTACAGTTTATAAAGTGCATATCAACATTTAAATTTCCCGAGAACCCTTAGAAGGAAATACAACGTTCATAAACAACTTGCGCTAAAAGAGTTGGCAAATTTACCTCAGTTGTCTTTGCAACTCTTTATATACATATTCAATGAAGGCATGTCAACGGAATGCATTTGTATATTTGTATTTGAGAAAACTCCAAAACTTAATTTAATCTTTATAAATAACGATATGTTTTATACACGGGAAGAAAATGTTTATCAAAGTTTTGGTCTCCAACCTGTTTTGTAACCAGAGGGCGATGATCTTTGTAGGAATTCCTGCTATACTAAAAAGAAATAGGTTCAAATAGATGTTTCCTGAAAGAGCTTGAATGCCAAATGTTATTGCATACAACACCATCCCTAATGCCAACCTGCAAGAAAATTTTACAGCTTTGAATATCCTATGATAGCTATGCGTAGGTCTGTTGTTTAAATACAATCGCAGGTCTTTTGTTTAAATACAATCGCAGGTCTATTGTTCAAATAAAATCGCACAAGGTAACATGGACAGTCTGTGACTGTATTTCCAAATGTTATAATGCTTAATGCATAGGTGATAGTTTTAAATGCCAATGCACACCTCAATGCAGGACTAATTCAAACAACAAAATTAATTATGTATCGCTTTGTCTCCCGGATCGCTTGTTGATGAAATATGATGTAACATTTCTTGTTTGATTTAACGAGCCTGTTTTAAAAACATGTTTAAACATAAAATAGCTTTTACAATGAAAAAGATTAACATAAGTAAAACTTAATCGATCATTGGAAATAACAAAAATACAAGAGAAAAAAACAGGATAATAAACATGCCAATTAATAGCCAGTAAGAGAGTGATTTTTGTAAGTTCCTTTGACTTAAACAGGTGTATGAAAGTGTATTTCTTGTCCATCTCTTTGGTTGATTCTTTCTCAATTATAACTGTATTTCCAACTTCTGGTACAGGCTTATTGTTTATCTTTGCCCATTGTTCTATAATCTTTTGTGCATCGGCGGGACGGTCATGTGCCACAAACCAACGAAAGCTTTCTGGTATGACGCTATGAAATAATAAGTGATCACTATCATTTAATAAATAATATAATAATAATATACATATATTTATATAATATGTATGAAATTTCTCGACGTTTCTTTGTCTAATTTTAAAACGTAACTGTTAAAAGATTTTTAAACAATCGCTGGCATTAAAAAAGAAACAAATATAGCAGACAAAATGTATGAAACTATAATGTTGTGCTTATAGAAGTACTGAGATGATGATTTTATTCTGATGTCTACACGCTCTTACATGTATGTAGACGATGAAATCGCCTTCTTATGTCGTAGTTTCCTCTTGCATATGCCCCAGAATAACAATTAAAGTAAATCAGAAGTTTAAGAATCTGTACAAAGTAATAATGTTTGACATAAACACCAGTTTGGCATTTCCGACAAAATACTAAAAACCCTACAATTTGAGTTTCATAAAAATCATGCTTTATTCGTTGTTTTGTTTTCAACGCTCACGAGAATCCCCTATCAAATTCCTGGGGCAACTTATTCCTGTGAAAACAGTCTATATTAGTAATGCATTATATAGTCACTGTTAGGGCCAGGTAGGTTATAAGCTTTTCCGTTCAAATTTACCATGCCGTGCCACCCAAGGAATTTGTTCTTCGACTGACAATTAAAACTTTTTTCTATTATCAAACATTTTGCAAATACTAAAATCAAATAGCCCCACATTATTACTTGGAGAACTAATTAGTGGGTGATATTTCTAAATATAACACTCTTTCGTAAAAACTAGTACAAAATGCTACAGAAACATATATGCATATAAATAAAGCAAGCTTGATAGTACTATTAAACAAAATAAAATATTATCTCTTGCAGAAGGAAGAACCATTTAAGGTATTAGCACCCTAATGCATTACCTCCGCTTTGAAGAGTATTCAAATAGGCTAGAACTACTGTTAACTACATTGAAAATGAGGGCCGTGGGTTCAATCCCCAGAAGGGTCAACTTTTTTTTTCTTTCTTTTTTTCTTTTTACATTATTTATGTATCTCTCATGTCCCATTTAGGAAGAAAAAATTGTTTAATTTTGATTTTTTAATTTATAGAGGTATTTATTGGCTAATTTATGCTAAATCTAGTAATAAATATGGTACCTGATATTTTCAAAGTGTAATATAATCAAAACTAGACGGTAAAAGTATTTCATTTTTTACAAGATCAACCAATATACTTTTTTAAAAATTTAGGAAAACTTTGAAAACAGGCACTCATTTGGGTAAATTTTAAGAATTTTTTAAATTAGGCTCCCTAAGTAGAAAAATGGTCAGACACATGGTAAGAATGGGTGGGGTAGGGTAACATTTTTATACAGATTTCCTAAATTTTAAGTAGAAACCATAATTTTGCTTATTTGGATTGTTAGCTGAATGGTACTATTTGTTTCTTACCAAAAATTAATGGGAAAACATTTTTCATTAGAATGTTATTGCAGATTATTTAAAGGTTCCTACTTTCTAAAAAAGGGCCCTCATAACATCCTAGCTTGAGTTCAGAAAAGTGGCCATAACTTGATTTCCGTACGGTAAACTTTGTTTAAATTTTGCATACAGGTGTACTTTAAGGTATACATCTGACTTATGATGTCAATTTTTTAGTTCCTGATAGTGCCCATTAGGGTCCTAATACCTTAAATCTGAATCCCTGTAACTACTTACAACCAAGTAAACAAGAATGGTATTCCTAGTAAACAACAAAATAATTGTATATAGCGCCAGTCTTTAATCAACCAGGACACAAGAGCCAGAGCGCACACTTGTAATGGCCAGGAAGGGAACCCTGTGATCCACGGACGCCATTTCGCCGACATAAACTCGGATAAAATGCAATGTTGAACGCTGATGAAGTCTCCAGCACCAATACCGATGAAAAATCGCGAGACAGCAAACATAATCCAGTTTGAAGACATAAAACCGATAAAATTGAAGACGATTACGATGATGATTCCGGCAAAGTAAGGCCGTTTTCGTCCAAAAGTGTCCGAGAGTTGCCCGGCAACAAGACTTCCAACTAGCATACCAGACGCTTGTAGTGACATCACAGTGCTCGGTATGTAATCAAGGTCACATAACAGCTTGAACTGCAAAGCAAATAAGAATAAAGTAAATCTAACATTCAATGACATACATATTTTACTATGAAAGGCATCAATCGTTTCGATATACAATTAATAGTTACCGTAAAAACCTCTATTAAGATATGATAAACAAGATCAACAAGGAAAGGCGGCGTTCAATGAACGCAACCCCATACGACCCAGGAACAAGAACCAGCAGCAAGGAGCCCAGGCGGACCCCAAACAAGACCACCAAAAGGTCGAATTGCGAGGTGATCTCAATTGTGGATATTCTTATCATTGCTTATATATTTTGTGCTTATATATTTTGTGGCCATGATCTATTTTGCTATTTGGAATGAACAAACAAAATGTATTATAACCTTAAAATACTACTTTAAAAGGATGTTTTAATATCTAATCTTGTGATAACAGAACATAATTCTGAAAAAAGTAATATCAGTTATTAAATTCTTATGGTTCTGTTTTCATTGTGATATATTGAGTATAATTCCTCAAATATGGATCAATTCTTCACAAAGCAACATTAAACCACTCTTAAATTTCTTTTCTAAAACTTTTGACACATTGGTACATCAACTGCCATGCCTAAAAGCATTCAAGCAGATAATAACAACATGTGATCTAAAAAGGTGTTGACTATATAAGTGGTCTCAATGGTTGGGACAAATAAAAAAACCCTGAAGAATGATGATCTCTGTAGAGAACAAGCGGGGTGGTCCATATTCCGGATCATGTTTCCACTAACATAAAGAATAGAAAATTCAGTTCTTTTAACAATAATATTGCATAAAACATGATTATAGATTACCTCGTTTCTGATCCTGATACCTTGTGTACAGCAATTACCAATTTTTTTTAAAAAACCTGATATATTTGGTCAGTTTATGATTTTTTCATTTTATCAGCATGATACAATACATGAAATATATTTAATGAATAAAGAACTTATTATATTCGCCGTATATTAGTTGTTATACATATATATCTAAACACTTACTAGAAAGATGGCAAAACTTGTTGTTATAATATGTTACATTCAAATAGTATCAAATGTTACATTAATGAATTTACCATTTCAGAAAGTAATAACAAACCTCAGATACAGCTGTTCTCACACCAGAGAACTCAAATGTATAACATTTGGTTTTATTTAATATACATGTTTTCTCTGCGCACATATTTGTATTATTGTCTTTTTCTGCGCAGGAAGAAGTGTTATTGCTTGATGTGCCGTCAATACACCACCACTTTTGTGTAGCAGTCAACATTATCGTGCTCATTACACTAAAGCTTATCAGCGTCTTCGTTAGATGAACTGTGAAACCCATGTATTTTTGAAACTTGCCGCATCCTCCAAGATTTTCAATTATTTCGTCAGGGCTTGTTGGTTTTGAAGCAGTCATTTCGCCTACACGTAACAAATAGAAATATTACAGTCAAAGAAGATAAAACCTTTGCAATATTTTATTTGTTTGAAAATATGAAATACGCACCAACAAGTAGAAAAAACTTTCAAAAGTGTTAAAAAACCCCGTTAAAGCAAGTTGATTTTTATTCAATCGACTAGAATGAATTCATATAACGTCTTAAAAATATATGCAGTGCATATTACTGAATGAGGAATGAGAAGTATAAGTAGTTCTGTGTTCTGTTTAAATTTATTGCTTTGAAATATATTTTAGTTTAAGATAATGTTATAACATATCTTTTAACTTGCAAAAAAATTGCTTAATATACTAATATTACTTTCATTCACTTTTTGAGGTTTATGCAATATTTTATTTTTGAAACAACCGTGTTTCCATAGCGTATAACTGACAACATAATTGTATTTACTTAAACATAGATGGAAAAACAAATAACTAAGACCTGCACAAAGTTTGTTATTTACATAACATGTTTATTTGTACTTTTGTATTTAGTACTAAATAATGTAAGAGATGTTATATAATACATCCGCGGTTGATTACATAACAAGCGTTTCAGGCTTCTGTACAAATCTTATCACGATTTTTTTAACGTGACTTACTAAGTTCTTAACTTAAATCTTTTATAAAGGTGATGAAAGACAAAAGGACCAAAGCAAAAGAAAAAGTACCCACCGTATGATATATACCATTGCACAATGTTTTCTGTATTGATTTAATCAGGCGAACGGTGAAGGTTCTTGGATTCAATCATTGTGGTATAAGCCCGTGTGGTGAAATTTACAATCGTTGTTTTTTTTATTAGACTTTAGATATATATAAAATATCATAACGATATATATTCATTGAAAATTTAAATAAAATAAAATGAAAGTGTTGTTTGGTTTTTTTAAATGAATAACCAGTCTGATAAAAGATACCTTTTTTAAATAAAAATCAAGTACATCAGTTTGATACCTAGTTTGGTTTTCTGTTACATGTACTCGACACAGAGAAATGAGCCGCGTCATGACAAAACCAACATAGTGCGTTTACGACCAGCATGGATCCAGACTAGCCTGCGCATCCGCGCAGTCTTATCAGGATCCATGCTGTTCGCTATCAGTTTCTCTACTTGTAATAGAGTTGGTAAGCAAACAACATGAATCCTACTGCGCGGAGGCGCAGGCTGGTCTGGATCCATGCTGGTCCCAAACGCACTATGTTGGTTTTGTCATGACGCGGCTCAAATGCATCTTACATATTACTTTGTTCTCTTATGTTAGCAGTTGTGAGCATATATTATTGTTTTTGGATATAAAATACTAATTTGTTATCAAACTATTGAAAAGAACTCCACTGAGATGCAAAACGAAAAACATAACAAATAGTAAAAAAAAGAAAAAAAAAGATTGTTTTGTGTTATTTTTAGACATTTTTTTAACGTCAACGTTTTTAATATTAGGGCATTTTTGAAAATTAGAATCATTCTGGAAAAAAAAATGTTAATCAATTATATATCTGTTATTTCATAAACAAGAACATTAAATAATAAGTAAGATAATTAACATGACAATAAGGTGTATAACTGGTGGAAGTATATAAAATACCACTATATAATATAAAACGGGTATAAATATTTTCATCGTTTAATTTTCTTTTATCCTTTTGTATTAAGTTTGCTAATCCTTTATAATAAATTTTATAGGAGCAGATTTAAAGTTTGAACTTGCGAATTTAAAAACAACCTTTCACCACGATTACTCGTGTGATACTTAGTGGATGAAGAAGCTTTAAAACTATGCTTGGTTATCAGGTAATATTTTTTGACAGTTTTTGCCGTATATTTGTTGTAAATTTAAATAACCCCTAGTCACATTACAGTCATTTTATCTAACATAAGCCTTAATAACTAATTTACGAGACTGCATATTATAATATGCTGCAAACGTGTATATAAAGTGACATTAAGCTTAAGAAGTGCATTGTATATGTCACGATTGTCTGACTATAAAAAAAACCGACGTATTATTAATATATACACACACATACATACACATGATACTTTATGTGTACAATAAACATGTACCTAATTATACGACAACTGTAACCTAATTAGAAAAGAACAGCTACTCAGACGTTAATAATAATAATAATAATAATAATAATAATAATAAAACTCTTGAAAAACTATACATCATAATGAGTATGTATATTAACGAATTAATAGATAAAATTATTTAAAGCATTTTATAAAACGACGTAATTATCTCAAAATACATCATTTCCGGGAATTTACATGCTAAACGCTTTTAAGTTTAAGTTACAAATTAAGGTTTTAATATCTATAATTATTTTTTTGTCTATGAACATATAAATTTCCTCCTGTCCCTTCGATTTCCGTTTGATTTTCCCCCCGACGAAACCCCAACCTATCCTTACATTGAGGCCAAAACGATTTAAAAATAACAATTTTAAAACATGCATATTTCTTACCTGAATTACGGTAAACTGGGGAATGTGTGATACAGACCCCGGTACGTGAAAATTAAATCCTACTGTTCCTACTGTTTGTAGGTAAAGGTTAATAATGGGAGTTTACAACTGTTTACATCAACAGGTTAATTAGAAACAGATACTTAAATATATTCAAAGTCATGACTTACACTTTTACGCGTTCAAACCTTGATTATTTAAAGGGCAAAATATGCCTTTGTTGACTTCATTTATTTAGAAAGAGGCAAAGCAGTAGGTTTTATCACGGTTTAAACAATGTTTTTTTTTTTTTGAGAATCTATATGCTTAATTACATGAAAAGGTTGCCTCTGAATGTGAAAGTTGCTAAAAGGTAGTAGTAGATTAAACAAAGTAGTATTTGACTTCCATATTTAACACTAAAACAAAACCAACATTATTGCGTTTGCCGACCAACTGGATCCCAGACCTGCCTTTGTGCATTGCCTTTGATCGGGAATAAAACCCTACTTAAAATTTAGAAAAATAATTATTTTGTTTCCGGAACATTTTGTTCTGTTTACCGTACATTTTTCATGTTGTGTTAAAATAAACAGAGGATAGTTTTATGTCAACTACTTTTTCGGGAAATCAACCATGATAAATTTGGAACCCCAATATAATTTTATGTTGATTACATTTAGAAAAAAAAAATTTTTTAATTAAAAGATTATAGGTTTTTTAGAGGTTTAATAAATTATTGTCTCGTCTGGCCCTGGACATGATTTTATCGCCATCGGGCCGTGACAAAGAGGATATATTCGGCAACGGCCTCGCCTCCTGAGTTTACCGACCAGCCGGACACGACGCTGAGTTATCGGGCAACCGGCTTTGATGCCCAAGTTGATTCGGCTTCAGGTCTAGAATGGTTGTTCATCGGCAGGGTAAGGGCCCTAAACAATAGTAATGAACCCATTCGGATGTTGGCTTGGTTTGTTTCATTTTTGCTTAATTTTAACTTGGGTTTTGAACATATTCTATTTTTAAAGATTAAAAATCACCGTATCCTTTACTAAATCCAAAACGAATGAATTTAAAATTGACTGAAACAAAGATCTAGAAACCATTACCTTAATTTAT